ACAGTTCAATATAATCACAATTATAATTATAGTTACAGCATTTTACAGTAATTCTAAACATACTCTAAAATCCACGTGCTTTCTTACTAGTCACCTTTACCCTACCGAAAGGCATTAAATTCCCAATCCCCATACCACATTTTCTCAGAAGCTAAGGATGAGAAAAATTTTATCACTAAGTCGAAGCTCATTAGTCAATTCTTCTTGAGCACGGTAGTAAAATAGGATAACAACCTTTTTTTTTAATTTTTTGGTACTAGAGGAAATTTCATAATAAGTTCAAAAGGTTACACCAAAGTCAAGTCAATCAAAGTCGTTATATATTATCGTGTACCACACGATAACAACTAGTTTCATTGACTTCATGACGTTGGTGTAACGGAGGAGTGGGTCTTCAAGCGGAGAAACTTCGCAGATAGATCCCTGAAGAAAAGTGTGGAGCTATACCGGACGATGTACAGTTTAAGTTAGAAGACCTTGACTTCAATGACTTGCATAAGAGCTTGTAGGATATGCATCTTCCGACTAACATCTTCATTTTCCCAAAAGCTCATATTTTTTTTGGCAACATATGTATATATATCTTGAAATCATTCTACCTTTTATTATTTCTCTAGCCGTTTCGCTTGAATTAGCGTATCTAGCATTTTTGTTGCTTTCTAGAAGAAAACATCGGATTGCTGATGAAGGAGATTCAAGTCCAACAAAAAATGGAGATATATTCTCAATATGGAACTTTGATGGAAGGGTTGCGTATGAAGACATTATTAAAGCAACTGAGGATTTTGACATTAAATATTGCATTGGTACAGGTGGCTATGGCAGTGTTTATAGAGCTCAACTGCCAAATGGCAAAGTAGTTGCTTTGAAGAAACTTCATCGAAGAGAAGCAGAGGAACCTGCTTTTGACAAGAGTTTCAGAAATGAGGTTAAAGTGCTCACAGAAATAAGACACAAGAACATTGTGAGGCTTCATGGGTTTTGTTTGCATAAGCGCTACATGTTTTTGATCTATCAATATATGGAAAGGGGAAGCTTGTTTTGTGTCCTTAGAAATGATGATGAAGCTGTGGAATTGGATTGGCTCAAAAGGTTCAATGTCATCAAAAGCATGGCAAATGCTTTGTCTTACCTTCACCATGACTGCATCCCACCCATCCTTCATCGGGACATATCAAGCAACAACATTCTCTTGAATTCAGAACTAGAGGCTTTTGTTGCTGACTTTGGAAATGCTAGGCTTTTAGATCCTGATTCATCCAATTATACCACGCTTGCTGGCACTCATGGTTATATTGCCCCAGGTTTTCTTCTTCAACATTTTTCTAGTATGTTATTTCACTCTCTACTACTTTTAAATTAGCATGTTAAGTGTGTGGTTTGTCTATGCAGAGCTTGCTTATACTATGGTTGTGACTGAGAAATGTGATGTTTATAGTTTTGGAGTTGTGGCATTAGAAGTACTGATGGGAATGCATCCTGGAAAGCTACTAACATTGTTATCATCGCCATCTTCTTTGCAAAATGTGATGCTAAGTGACATATTAGATGCACGTTTATCACCTCCAAGAAGTAGAAGTCTTACCCAAAATATTGTGGTGGCTACTGCACTTGCATTTGCTTGCTTACATGCAAAGCCCAAATTTAGGCCAACAATGAAATTTGTGTCTCAACAGTTTCTTGCTAGCAAAAAACCACTTACAAAGGCTTTTCAAACTATTTCTTTACTAGAATTGGCACACAATGAATTGGCGAAGGAAAATGAAAAAGAATTTCAACCAAAGATTTCAAATCATCCAAGTGAGCATCATGGTTCTTCCTTATATGAAATTCTTGATGTCTAATTTTGAAAATCCAAAGACTATGTAGTTTTGATAAATGATTGTTAATAAGAGTACCCTTCATGTATGTACCAATACCTTGCTCGGTTAATTGGCCAATTTAGTTGCCGTATATCTATCCAACAACATGCTTGTTGGTCCTATACCCTTTCTCTCTTGATCCATTAGCCAATTTAGTTACATTTTAAATCTGTCCTATAACATGCTTGTTGGCCTTATCCTTTTATCTGTAGGTCAACTAGCCATGTTGTTTGTCAACCTTGTGGATTGATTTCAATAAATTCAATAACTGCATCCCTCCAAACAATGCAAAACACATTACAATTTTCAATGCCATAAAACAAACTCATTAAAAATGAGAAATGAAGAATATATAAAAAAAAAAAAAAAAACATGTAGAAGTTACAAATTTTTACATGTGCATCCTACTTGGAACGACAGAGAAAAATATGAGAATAATTATTGCAGATGCCTTATTTACTTTAGTATTACCATTTGGCTTATTCTGCAATAGAGGACCAATCATCAAAGGAAAGAGAGAAGAAGAAAGAGGAAGAAAAAGAAGAAAGGGGAGGAAAGAGGAGAGATAAAGGAGGAGCCAGAGAGATGAAGGATTAAAAAAAGGGAAAGAACAAAGACTTAGTATTTTTTAAAGTTTAAGAATAAGTTTGATATAAATTTAAAAGTTCGTTGATAAAATTGATATTTTAATTATTTTTAAATTTATGTTTTAAGGGTATATTAAGGTTGTGTTAATTGTATTTTTTAAATTATTTTATATAAAAAAGTTATATTATAATATAAAATTATAA